TACCTATACAACCCAACTGACAATTTATAAAATCGTTTCCACAAGGTTCTATAAACAGGAGATGGTCAATTTATTCTTTTACCCAATCCTGAAAACAGTACATTTATTAACTGGCAGTTTTAGTAGTTTTAGTCAAATTTATATCAATAGATTACTAAGATTTAGTCTTAAAACATATGGCAATGTATTTTTAAACCAGAAACCACCACAGAAAGATGAAATTTCATTTTCAATTAGTAAGAAAAAAAGTTTTGACGTAGTCTGTTATTTTTAATTTGTCAATTTGTAAGGCCACTAAATTATTCTTGAGTGTTTTGAATGCTTCACCCTGGGAAACCTTTTCTTACTGTTAAAAACAAAACCCTACTGCTTTGCTGGTTTGGAGACAATCTCTCGAACACCTATAGAGTGTGCTAGAATGTATATATTTTCCTCTATAAAAATGAAGCCTGATTAGAAATACGAAACATACCTTAAAATTTGCACTATTTTTTTAAAGTTTAATAAATTATAGCATACCATACTAATGTTTTATATTTATGATACACAGTAATTTTGGGGGTAATGTTTTATTGTTGTAGGCCTTAAACACAAGAAATGAAAATAAGTTACTTACTAAACATACTCACTTAGTGCGGCAAAAGCGGGCCTGGATCACCGCCCCGGTGGCTCTTCGGGAGGGAGAAGATCTATCCAAAAAGAATCCAATTGCCAAGGTACCTTCTAAAGAGAAATGTGAAATATATGCCTGTGATTAAAATATGGTGTGAAAGGACTTCTATGTTTACTATAAAAGTTAAGGAAAATTACTTATTGTACTTACTAAATTTTTAAATATTCAGGATGCATTTGAAAATTAGCAGAGCTTACTTTTAGCAGAAAGTGACAACTTTAAGATCCTCTTTCCCACTCTGGAAGATGCAGCAGAAAATATGTGTAACTTTGAGTTTTGATTCAACCAAGAGTCAAGGGATCTGGTACTACTTTAATCTCTGTTCAACACAGTGTTACAGTGCTCAAAAGAGGATATCGTCATAAAATGTCGTTTCAAACTGAGCTGATGTCTAACAGGCAGGGTAATTGTGTGTCCTCATTTGCCCGGGACAGTCCTGATTTATGCCTGTTGTCCTGGCATAATAATTAATATCTGTGCTTTCACTCTCAAAGTGTCTTTTTGATAAATTGTGTGGCAATTCTACTACTTTGTGTCTCAAAGTTAGTATGTATAAACCTGAACTTTTCATTGTTTTCTCCTAAAGCTGCCCTACATAAGTTCTAACCATTTCAGTAAATGGCACTATAAATCTATCCAGTTTTTCAAGCTAAAAATGTAGCAAAGATGATTAGTTCTACCCCAAAACATATTCCACATCTGCCCACTGCCCTTCAACTCCATCGCCGTTGCCCTAGTTCAAGTCACCATCATCTCTGACCTGCATTTATTACCAAAGGAGCCCCCTATCTTGTCTCCTGCCTTCACTCTTGCCAATTCTCCCACCAAAACCACACACACGGAGTCCACTCTGCAAAAAGTAGCCACAGCGATCATGTGAAAAGACAGATCAAAGCATGTTCGCCCCTCAGTGAGACCCTTTCAGTAGCTTCCCAGTACAGTGGAAGAAATAAACTCCTTACTCTGGGCTGTAAGAGCCCATATGATCGGTTGGCCTTGGCCTCCACTCTGACCTTGGCACCTATTACTCTCTGTCCTTTACTCTGCCACATCCCAGAAACTAACCACAAGCTCGTTCCAGCCACCCAGTCTTTGCACTCGCTGTTCCCTCTGCCTGGAATACTCTCTCACAGATATCTGCAGTATGTCACATCATCAGGCTTCTGCTCAAGTGTCACTTCCTTCTCCCTGCCTCACCCCCACTTCTCTCTCTTCTCTTATACTGTTTGTTTATAGCATATTTGACTACTGCAAATCATGTCTTACATCGCTGGTTTATTCTCTCTCCCTCAGCAGAGTATAAGCTCTTTGAGGGCGGGGTTTAGTCCTCAGGGCTCATAGCTCAGACCCGGAATGGTGCCAACTTGCACAAGATGCTTGTTAAACATTTGCGGGAACGAACACTTGTTCAGATCATCTTTCCAGTCTCTTAAGATCATATGTGAAGAGCTCTTTTAAAAGAAATAGCTGCGGAAGACAAGGCAGCAATTTTCTTTTCCAGCAACGTGCTGTTTTCACAAAAGCCTTCTAAAATCCGGACTTTTTAAGTGTGGCTTTACATAATAGTATGTATATAAGTAACT